TTTTGTAGTATTGCGAATAATATTTTGGTATAAATATTCTCGCTTAGCAGATAATGTAGCATTTACTATCTGACATTGTCAATCGATTCTTATTGTTGGAAAATGGGTGAGTTTTTACATATTATTTAAATAATTATTGGCAGTGTCTATTATTACATTTTTACATTATTTGCACGTATGAGGTAGGGTGTGTAAAAAACCATCGATTTTTTTTTACTTTGCTGATAATTAGTACTCGATTTTTTCCGACGTTTTTACGAACGATATATATCGGCGATAATCGGGGTTTGGGTAAAATCATCGTTAGCTTATGGTCTCCAATTTTACAAAGCAGTTCAAAAGGAAACTGACGCCAGTTGTAGAATGGTGATGGCGTTTATAGAAAATTTAACATTATCGGCTGCAGATAATCACCCTTTACAAATTTTGAAGACAATTAACGGGGCGTATACACATTTTTATAAGTAGCCCGAAAACTCCTACTAATAGTATCCACTTCTGTAATATTAGACCGTATGTTTTCCGAATCCGGTAGCCGCTTGCTATTGGTATATTGAACAAGCTTCTGTTTCTTATGAGTCTTTATAAAGAATATATTCATGACTCTTGTTAATTTCAAAAGTGATCTGTGTCCTCGTCTTGGCAAGCGCATTTCGTGTCTTTAAAAAAGGAAAAACTTACATTTTTCGTTGTGTTTTTCTAAATTATACACTACATATATACAGACATATACTCGTATGTAGTTTTTATGTGATATGCCTTTTCATTCCATGGATGTAAAAATGACCGTCTGTTTGTTCGTCCTCCTGTTTAACTGTATGAACACCGATAACGTTTGAACTAAAACAGCTAGAGACATCAAACTTTTTATGTTGACTTGCCTTATCCAAACACATAGAAAGTTTATTACAAACCATATTTTTGCCAAACCCCATAGTCTATATGTTCAATATTGCTCTGATTGAAAGATATCCATATATTTAATCGTTATCTGGAGATTATAGAAATACTGAATAATCATTTGCCTGTGTCTTGCATGAATTGGCTGCGTGTTGGGTCTTCTGACCCATTTTAAGTACTAGTTGGGAAAATGAAGCGCCCAATGAACACCTCATATGATTACCAACACTTCACTTGCAGCCCTCAAGCTTTAGTCAGACGCCTAGAAATGGCCATGGTATTAACACCCAAGTGGTTTGCTGTGTGGCCAGCCGGCAGCACGACAACAAAAACAACAACTACATACAAAGGGAACAACAATAACAGCAATCAGAAGAATTGTCTACTCATAATGTATTTTGAACACGCACAGACGTTTTGTAATTTCAACTTGTAACTACATATTTTGCTGCTTTTAAGATTTTTCTTTCCCTTGCAACAACGATGAGTAAAACATGACATAGACTGGTAATATGGCATGCATATGTATATATACTTACGATTACAGGAAAATATATCGTAAATGCTGACCATCGTCCCATTGTTAAGTTAAATCGTTTTGGGAGAATTTGGTTTCTTAAATTGAGTAACTGGGGCTTCACATCCTTTATTAATACCTTTAGTAGCAATTGTGAACAAATTTATAGCTATGGGGTTCTGAAACCCTTATAGCCTGCAATTCACCTAACATTTAAATAAGAAAGTCGACTGTCCTTCAGCTTAAAGAAGGTGTGATTTTATAGCAAGTACAATTATAGTATGTACTCAACGCGCTTGTATCACCCCTTGTTGAACTCTGAAGTGTGAAGTTTGCAGAAGAGGGAGCTTCGAAATCAGATCATAATTACCTTACAAAAAATGAAAAAAATCGTCTTCAACACTGGGGGGTGTCTACCAGAAACCATGCCATCTCGCAGACATTTCAAGAATCCCTCAATCATTTACAACTGAAAGAAACTAAAAATATCACTAAGTAGAGCCAAACACATACGAGACTCGCTCTTATAGGTTACTGATTTAAATTAAAACCATTATTCAAATCTTTTTTTCTATTAATATTGATTAATATTTTCAATATTGTTATTACTCTTCCACATTTTATTATTATTATTGGCTCACATATAAGATTTAAGTAAAAAACTATTAATTGTTCTTGGTTAGTTTTCTATATTTGTAATCCACATAGGCAGGTTTCACTGTTTAAAACAATAATTTGTTCAAGACGAAGATGTTGTCGCTTTTGTATCTTGAAGTTATATTCATAATACATATGTATGTATGTATGTACATACATAAAAACGTCAGTAGGTTTTCTTGTAAAAGGGTTTCCCTGCGTTTGTCGCCAATTATGCGGTTTTGTGATAATGACCAAATGATCTCTGCGTTGCCGCCGCCGTCGTCGTCGTCGCCGCCACCGCTGCCGTCGCCGTCGACGCGCACGTAATTTCAATTCATTCATAGGTTGGCGACTACGACGCTGGCTGACTGGCTGCGTTTCATTCATAAATTTACCTGGTCGCGTAGTCATAATAGCTTTATCATACAGCCAGCCTTTGCTTTTGGTCTGCTACGCGTATACAGACAGACAGACAGACATACTTACATACATACATACATACTTAGTTTGTACGCGACTTCGTCGCTGGCTGCCTGCCTGCCGGTCTGCCTTCTTTATCTTCTTATAGGTAAAACATTTTGTTGTTCGATACATTCGACGACGACGACGACGATGCGCGCGCCATTCAACGGAAGCAGCGGAAGCACCTCACCTCTGCCTTCTGCCTACAACCATTGTTGTTGTTGTTGCCGTTGTATATTTTTGACGTAAAACAAAAACAAAAACAACAGCAAAAGCAACCAGCAACTCCAACAACGAAGCTGCCTGCTGCTGCTGTCGATCGTAGCATTTGGTTTCTTGCCTTCGGGCGTACTTTGTAGCTGCTTCTTCTTCTTCTTTTACTTTACGTTTCTTCTTCTTGATCGTGTGGAGTTTTTAGCTCGAACGTAGACGAATACTCGTGTAAAGCAACATAAGAAATTCATTCATAAATTGTTCCCTTCACCAACAACTGGACAAGGAACTCCTCTGTGTGCATTGATATGCCCTCTTGCATATGTATGTATGTATATATATATATGAACATATGTTTGTATGTATGTAGGTGTGTGTTGGCAACATGAGTAGAGTTAGGTTCTTCAACAGGGTTATATAAAATGTGGCAAATACTTGTACTTTGCTGATATGTGTTGGTCACTCGATCGCCTCATTTGTTGCCCTTGCATTTTGCACTTGAACTTTGAACACTTTAATTTGCCCGGCACCTGTTACAGCCCCCGTCCCAGTTTCAATTTCAGTTGCAGCCCTCACCTGTTGTGCAACAAAAACAACGCACAGCAACAACATTCGCTCCACCCAAATACTAATGCTTCCTTGCGTTGTTTTATTTGTTATTTGCTTTGGTTTTCATTTCGTACATTTGCCTTTTTTTGTTTTATTTTTTTCTCTCGGCTAAACAAACAACGTGTTGTGCACTTTTGTTGTTTTACTAGGTGTACGTAGTTGTAGTTGCTTTTGTTGTTGTTTTTGTCGTCACGATGATGGCCGTTTCCGTTCCACACGCACACACACTTATCCATGTACATCTACATATATATGCACACGCGCAACAGATAAGGCAAGCGGTTTGTGAATGAATTCCAGTTCGTTTCGTTTCAATTCCACTTGTTGCGCACTCAACGCATACGCTCTCTGCTGCACTCTCTCTTCAGCGTGCGCTCTCCCGATTGTTGCTCTCTTGCGTATCTGTATGCCTTGTATGGGTGTGCGTGACTCGTTTCGTATCATTGTTTAGGATATCATCGACGACGCGATCGTTTCGTTTCAGTTTGGCTTCACAAATCCAGCAATCCGATAGATACACAGAGAATAACTCGTCGTTACAGAAAATTTTCAGTTGTTTTTTGTTCGTACGTCGTGAATTTTTCGCTTAATATATTTAAATAAATTGCAATTCTGCGCATGTGTTTGTGTATATACATGTGTGTGTGTGTGTTAGAGTGAAACGGCAATTGAAGAACTTGTTTTGCCATTTTATTGCCTGCATGTTGACAGTTTGTAATGAATTATTTTGTGCATATTATTTGCGTTTAATGACATGCATTTAAACAAGTGCCACAATTAAATAGTGACGCCATAATTGTTGTTTATTATTGCATTTATTTAAATAAAATACAACTGGTTAGTGCTAGAAGTCAACAAGACAACAAAATCGCTTTTAAATTGCACGCTAATCCCATTGAAGGGCCATAAGAAGTCAGTTCATTGATGTGCCGCGTAGATACATTTGTAACCACAACAAGCAGACGCCCGCCCGCCCTTACGCAACAAATGCGAGCGCGGAAGTTGTGAAGAAAGGGTCGCGACTTTCACTGACATTTCGGGTCAAACTTGTTGCTGCCGTTGATATTTTGATTTTCACGCCAATAAATTAAAGCAATTGAAATTGACGATAACTTGTCTTCATGAATGGGTGTTGTGTTGTGAACGAGTGCAGTGAGTTCGTCTTTAATTGCTTCATGGGCAAACAATTAAATTGACTTCTTGACACCCAACAACCGCACAGCTACTACGAGTATGTCAGTCACAACAGCAGCTCGTTAAGCATTTGTTACACTATATTCAACATCTTAGAGATACTTTGATTGCATATCTATTGAAAATACTGCAAAATTATGACAAATGAATGGATAGATTGGAATGATAGTCGCATGTTGCCGCCATTGCGCACCACGGGCTACAACAATCATCAGGCGTTTCTAAACAACAATAGCAATTACAACAACTACAACAACAACAACTATCAATGTTTTTCGAGTAAATTCAATTTAAAAGCACACAAGTTGCAGCAATTGCACACAACCAATGGCAGATTGAAAGGTAATTTTAGCCTTCCCTTGAATTTCATTGAAATATATACATTCATACATATATTTCGGAGCTACACAGCCTTAGACTGAATCGAGAATGTAAAGCAATGTTCTCTCTATCTTTCCTATTGCAGATATACCCACAGCGTTGCCGCCATTAACACCAGGCACAAATCATAAGGTTAGCCAGGTGCTGAAGGCCTCATTTGCCTCATGGGAGAAGGAGGTGCAGAACTGTAATATTACCAAAGGTAAGCACGAAGAGTATCATACATTTTTGTATTTATTATCGCAGATCATATATGTACATGGATTATACAGTATTTACCTATGCTACACAGTGGCAAAAACATTTGCAAAGCTTAGAGGCTTAAAGCGTTATCTATGAAGATACATACATACATGCTCGTATGTGATTTGTAGAGTCTTTTTGAGCAAAAACCTTGGTGGGTAAATCAACATATAAAGTATTGTTACCAAATTCTGGTGCATAAATTCCATTTCAAACTATTCTGTTAAGGCTTTAGGCTTCAATGGAGTAAATATTTATTTTCTAAGTCAACTTAAATGTTTTGAGAGACCTTTTAGGGACCTTCACAATATCCATGCGACTTTTAAGCTATTGAGGGAATAGGGTATTTATAAATACACCTAATTCTGTTTTTACACGGTTGATCGGTTCCAGAAATAACCGTGTAAGAAAACACATTGATCACATGCAAAAATAGGTAATTGGTTCCTTATCTCTAAAGAAATATATGTTACAGATTTGGGTGTATTCATCAGTTGAATGACTCCAAAATGCTTCTCCAGCTGATAATAGTTATTCTGAATTATTTCTTTAAACTAGATATGTTTTAATATGGCATGTTTAAAGGTCCATATATTATTAAAAGAGATTGGATATTTTAAGAAAATAATCTGTAATTAAAACGGACAACATAATGCTCAATTGATACTCAATCAGGCTTGGCTAAATGAAAAAAACGTTCGCTCACATCCGATATGTCATCACTTTCTTTGATCAAGGTTTTTTTTTTATTTTGGTCTAGAAGTTGTTCTTCTGCTTTCCTAACATCGATGTGTCTTACTCGATATCGTAGTTTCTAATGGATTCATATATTAGTAGATTGCAACTGGACATGAATTACAGCATTAAAGCGTTATTTAATTAGATTTTGATTTGATTTGAGCGTAAAATCTTGGTTAAGATCACGCCTTTCAATTTCACTTTCCTATAATTTTCCTGACTTCTCCTTATCTTAACCTTACCAATCGTAGTACAAATTATCAACTTGAAAACCTACGTTGGGTAAGACAATTAAATGCTGATTGCCATTTAGTTTTGATTACTAAAAGATGACTGTCCGCGATCACAGATTTCACAGCACATTGTTGCTTTTATTAAATCGTCGAGTATTGCTTCAGTCGGCAAATGCTTCATGCTTTTGCTAATTCATGAATATTGAGAACTACTTGCTAGAATTTAGAATGTTTCCCTGTATTATGTTGATGAGCTAGTTCAGTAAATTGATCAATTACTATTAGTATAATCCACATGCCACAAGTTAGCAGTAAATTTGAATTTGTTGCATTTGATACGCCAATAAAATAATAATATATAAACACATGCAATAGAGACAGCAATAAAAGACAGCAGCTATACGCTTGAGCCTAGACATGATCATAAATGAATATTAATAGGTTCTCACAGCAATAACGTTAATAACGTTTTGAATGCGCTCCCACGCACTCTTGGTGACTTGTTGAAAATAATAATTAAGTAGCGAAGAAGCGGCGCTGCAGTATATTAGAAAACAATTAATTTAGATGTTTTTTGTTCATTGAATTATTTATAATTTGATTACAGATCCACGCGAATGGACGGAGGAGCATGTCATTTATTGGCTAAATTGGGCTAAAAATGAATTCTCATTGGTCTCAATGAACCTGGAGCCCTTCTACAAAATGAAGGGCCGTGAAATGGTTGAGCTAGGCAAGGAGAAATTTCTGGCCATAACACCGGCATTTACGGGTGATATTCTATGGGAACATTTGGATATTTTACAAAAAGGTAAGCCACAAATATGAAGTGAATGCGCGTGATCGGCATATCAATAAGCAACTGGCGCCAGCAAGAGTTGCTGCAACAACTTGGCTTTAAAACTGCTGGTGGGCAACTGAATGGCTACTATCGACTATGGCTAAACCAATTTGCGCTGAAATTCTGACATAAAATAGAACGGAAAATTGGCGCAAGCAGCGGAAGTCTTTAAGCTAACAAAATCACAGAGCGTCCATCGACTGCGCCACATCCGAAGTGCCGAGCCACGTTCTCTTCTCCATTTTGGGGGGTTGTTGCACGAACGGGTTTTCCAACGATGACGATGGCGATGGTGAAGGTGTATATGTGTGTTTGAGCAGTTGGACCAGTCGGGTCGATTCGGAGAGGAGACTAGCAGTCTTACACACGCTTTCCGCCACTAAATTTGCTTCCTACTGCTACACAATTTGATTTTTCTTGCCACATTGGCGTTAAGGTCAACCTGCGGAAGTCAAATCAGTTCGCAATTTCGCTGCTCTGCAATATAAAGAAAGAAAAAAAAAAAAACAAGTCAACAAGCAGTCCTTACCTACCATATAATTTATTGAATTTAAAAACCTTTTAGTGGGGTCATATGATTTTTCATAATAAGATTTTTCACATAAATTTAATTGTATTCTTTTCACTTTCCCTTCCCCACCATACACACACACAGATTGTGAAAAACCAAATGAGGACATTGTGCATGCGAATTCCTTTGAGTCCGCAACTACAGCCTCGGTCTGTGGATCGGACCATCAAGTAGCGAGTTATTTAGGCAATACAGTGAATTCGGCAGCAGCAGCAACAACACCAGCAACAGTGCCTGGCAACAATGCCAATAATAATAATAATAACAACAACAACAACCCATCGAATCGCTTGTCCATTGATTATGGCCCAACAACAGCGACCAGTGATAAGAGAAATTTCCATTCACCCTCCATGCAACAACACAGCGGTAAGTGAGATCCATAAAATTTATTGTGTCCTAATTCCGGTAATTATGAGCGGAACAAGCCATATTTTAAATTATTACCATAACCATCAACTGAGCATGATTAGATTTTACCTCCACTTGAACAATCTTATCAAGTGCGCTAATTATGTTTACCAATATTAAAGAAGATGCCAACAAATGGCAAATAAATACAATTCGACTCGCCTTCCGGTTGAGGAAATACGCTCAATAAAGGCACATTGATTGCAAACTATGCACCAGAGAGATTGGTTTAAAAAAAAAACAGATGAGAGGGAACTTGTAGAGAATAGAGGCAACAGGATAAGAAGGACAGATAGTACTTCTTATTCATATTCCTCTGAAGCTCTACGCGTATGAAATTTGTATTCTTTCCACTCTTTTTCTATTGTTGATTTTTCCATAGCTTCCGTAATTTCAAAAATTGAACCACATCCGTTGCTTATTCGTGTAGGTGTTTTATATCCTTAATTTATTGGTTTTAATAATACAATTTATTTTTAAAATGTAGTTTAAAGAATTCAACTTTCACATGTTCAAAACATTCTTTTAAAGTGGGGTTTTAAGAGTGGGGCGCACACAGCTCTCAACATTTCAGTCTTGTTTTTTGTTCCAACAAATAAAATAAAAAAGTTGTACTATATTGAAAAAACAGCTTTCGGTCAAATCCAATAACATTAGCAAATAAACATCTTAAAATAGGTTGCTCCGAGCTATGAAGGAAAGCTCAATTTTACTCCGATTTGTAAACCTTTCGAATCCGTATTTTCAAACTAAAACAAGTTAGCTAAAGACTGATCTAAATATATGCTTTCATGTATTTAAAATTAAAAATTTAAGTTCTAAAAATTTTATTTAAAACCTTTCACACTGCGAGTAAATATGATATAATATTTTCAAAAATATAATGCTAATTTTGTTGAGTTATATTCAACTTGACATGAAAATCAAATTGTAAATCTGAAAACTTCTTTTTGTATTTTGAAACATTTTTTTTCTAACTCGCTATTCATAACATATTTTATTTTATTAGATTCGTTTGGATATTTAAATTTCTTTTAAATACACACCCGAAAATACTTTTAAAACAAGTAAAAAAGCTAAAGTCGGGTGTCCCGACTTTGAAATACTCTGTACATATGTTTACAATAATTATAGAAAAAAAAAAAAAAAATTTGATCGATTTTACCTCTCTCGGTATTCGAACTCACGTAAAGGGTGTATAATTGCACATTTACATAGCAATTGCGTCTGTGTGAGTGTATGTATGCCTATGCGCATCTATTCGTGTCTGTGTAAGCATTTTCGCAGTCAACCGAACAGCAACATCAACAACAGCCGCGGGCAGCGCTTGAGCAGCGCTGCAGCAGCGCTGCATCAGCAAATATATTTATGGCTATAACTTCTTGTTAAATCGGTCTATCATAATGAAATTTGGCATACGGACACATAATAACCAACTGGGGGTATTTCCATTCCAAATTTTAGTTCGAAATTCCAAGAATTACGGGAGTTACGATTTGCGGGGTAGAGGGGGGAGGGAGGGGAATTCCAAAATATACATTTTCTGCGTATTCACATAAGGCATCTGGGACTAAAATTTGGTGTTCCTAGGTCTTATAGTCTCCGAGATATAGGCGATTATACGAATGGAAAATCGGGAAAACCCCCATAGGGGGGAAGTGGGGGGAAAATCAAAAAAATAAAACAAACTCGTATAGAATACACACATAACGCATCTTTGTGCAAAATTTGGTGTCTCTATCTCTTATAGTCTCTGAGATCCAGGTGTTCATTCGGACGGACAGACAGACAGGGCTAGATCGACTCGTCTCGTCATGCTGATCAAGAATATATATACTTTGTGGGGTCTGCCACGCCTCCTTCTGCCTGTTACATTTTTCAGCTCCCGCAAACCTAATATACTCTTGTACATTTCATGTACAGAGTATAAAAATATAGATCAAATTTTGTTCAATTAGATTTGAGTTCAAATTTAACTCGACTACCTCGCTAGCTTATCAATATTTTGTTCACCTTACATAAGTATTCAAGGTATTTAGTACTTCCTAGAAATCACTCACTATCTAGAAAATACGATTCGCTTCACGCATAAGTCACTTCAATGATCGGCGCTGGCTAATTACCGCTTTATACAAAATGTTAGCCCGAAATTCCATTAAGTAATCAAACTTGTTTATTTCACATCCTCAAATCGTAATGCCCGATTTTGATATTGGCATTGGCATGTGTTTAGTGCATCCGGCCCATGTCAAAATGTTATTTAAACAATAATTTAATTTTATTTATTGTTTTCATTTCTCATTTGTTATAAGAAATTAACGCACCTACGATTCGCGAACATAAAATTTGACTTGATATTTTTTTCTAATGGGCGTATCTTTATTAATTGTTAATGTACGGGTATGTGAGTGTGCATCCAATGAGTGTGACTTTGTTTGGATTGAGCGCATAATTTAAATGGCAGGCCATATATTAAGCATATATCGTGAATGTGTAGCCGTTTTATATTTGTGTGGTACTAATTTATTTATGTGAAATTGAAACGGAAATTAAATTTTAAAACAAATAGCAAAATGCCTGGAGGGGCGCATGGCGCCAGCGTAGGCAGCTAAATGGAGAGATGAGGAGACGAAGAGACAGACCGACAGGCGGACAGACAGGCAGGCAGGCGAAATAAGCATATCTAAATATCTATTTAAATTGTTTACATATTAGGCATTGAGTTGGCGACTTGCTACCCGACGCCGGCACAGCTTGAGATACATTTATTTAATGCTCGTGATACAAATTGGAGCGACGGCTCATTAATGCATTGTATCTCCTCCGACTCTAACTGCACTTTCGATGCCAGCTTGCGGAGTGTTAACATGATAGAGTGTGCGCCACAAATTTATTAATAATCAAGTTGCCCACAGAGTGGAGTGTTGGAGTGTGTTGCACTATCGTTCCAATAATGCGTGCACAGTTAAACCGAAAATTTAACTTGTCAGAGATGCTCGTTATCAGCATTCTATCTGTCTGACTGGTTTGGCGGCTGCGACTGCTGCTGCTGCTGCTGTTATGAACATTATAATAAATTAATTGAATTTACGGTCTTGACACATTATGACCATAATGGTCAGATGTTTGTGCATACTTCCAATGCATATGTATATAAGGCGTGCGCTGCTAATGAAACAATCAACGAATTTGACAATCAGACACAAAAATCTATCTGCCATTAAATGCCGAAACTTAAATGCCCTTAAACGAGTATGTGAGTTTCCTGCAGACACTCTAAAGAGCACATCATATACAAGTATTCTATGCGAAGCGTACTCTTTAAATTTCACTACCAATTTATCTTCTTGTCTATAAGAAATGATAAAAATAAACAGATCACAAATAAATAAAATAAAAAAGCAGGGCTTTCATTCGTTATACTATATTTATAATTATACTTATTATAATTATACGAGACTTTATTTAAATCCATGTATGTATATAAATGAAAAAGTTTGTCTTTCAATCGTTTACATGCGGAATCCATTTTGCATTAAAATGGGTACTGGGAAGAAAATTATCTTGATTTCGTCACTTCCTAATTATTTATAAACGAAATATATCATCGACGTGGTTCTGAGTTAAGCTTCAAACATTAATATGTTATATAATTTAACAATAAAATACATGTTTTTCGACACTTCTTCGCTAATTTTACATCGTATGTAGTGTATTATATTTATAACGAAACTAGCGATAGTATCAAGAAGTATTTTTTCCCACCCCATTTCCCAAAAAAAAATTCCATAATTTGCATGAAATTCTGCACCGAAAATAAAACTGTGTTGTGACTAAATATTCTACAAGTATAGTATACCAGAAAACAGGGGCTGTTATACGAGCCAGCATTCTTAATGATATTGAAAGGTTGTATATAAAGAATTTATTTTTACAATATTAGAGTCAAAAAGAAGAAGACAAATTGTACGCATTAATAAATTAGTAATAACTTGTATATGGAAGAGCATTAATCATAAAAACCACATCAAAATCCAAGCACAAATCCACATTAATTCTTAATCGTAAATGTGAGCGGAGGAGTGCGAGCTTCAAAATTTGTTTTCTTCTGCCTCAAATTTGATTCAATTTCTTCTAAAAGTATATAGTACGAACGCCCCAAGTAGCCGCTGTTGTCATCTCGTGTATGAGTAAACGACCGGCGATTGTCGAGCCCCGCTGTCGCTGTCGCTGTTGCCGTCGCCGTCGTTGTCGTCGCCGCTGTTGACCGACCCGTGGGCCCAGACCCAGACCCAGGGACAGGCACAGCTTTGGCTCCGACTGGCCCGCATACAAATTATGCGACAGCTTGTAGTCAGTGAGTTGTTGTGGCTGCCGTTGTTGCTCCCTCCTGCGGTTTTTGTAGGTTGTCGCTTAATTCGTTTCGATTGTCTTTTTGTCAGTCATTAATTTGCTGAATTTACATATTATTGATGTACTTTGAGTGTGTGTGTGTGTGTGAGTACGTGTCTATTTGCATATGGTAGTGGAGCGCCCCGATAACTAGAAATTGGATCCTCCACCAATATACATTTTAGTTAACGCCTGAGTTATGATATCGGAATACTTTAGAATGCTCATAAGAGTTCATTTTTGCCTACCATCGCGGTTAATTCTCAGCTATGGTTGACTCTTTGACATTGAGGTACATTAAGTATCTCAGCGCTAGGTCCTTAAGTGAATCGCATATGCAATTATGTAAATGCGACTCTGATAAAAGGTCTAAATGTCCAGGTGTTCAACGCAATTTAACACGAAAGCGATTCTTCCCAGCCACATAGAAAAAAACTAATAAAAATACTAATGAAATCTTGGCGATAAAAACTTAAAAATCATTCATCAAAACTGAAACAAATTATAATTAATTACACTAATTAAAACTAAGTTCATGCCTTGCAAAACTCAAAGCTTCAGCGGTC